CTCCTTGCTTTCAGTCTGAAGGTGGAGCTTCCCCTGGGTGTCAGGACACCAGATGAGAAGCCTGCACCTTGCTTCATGTCTGGAAGTAGAGCTTCGCCTGGTGTCAGGACACCAGATGAGAAGCCTGTACCGTACATCACGTCGGAAGGTGGAGCTTTGCCTGGGTGTCAGGACACCAGATGAGAAGCCTGCACCAGGCTTTCATTCTGAAGGTGGAGCTTCACCTGGGTGTCAGGACACCAGATGAGAAGCCTGCTCCTGGCTTTCAGTCAAAGGGGAGATTCGCCTAGGTGTCAGGACAACAGTTGAGAAATCTGCTCCTTCCTTTCACTCTGAAGGTGGATCTTCCCCGGGGTGTCAGGACACCTGATGAAAAGCCAGCACCTGGCTTTGATTCTGAAGGTGGAGCTTTGCCTGGGTGTCAGGACACCAGATGAGAAGCCTGCACCTGGCTTTCATTCTGAAGGTGGAGCTTCACCTGAGTGTCAGGACACCAGATCAGAAGCCTGCACCTCACATCACGTCTGAAGCTGGAGCTTTCCCTTGGTGTCAGGACACCAGATGAGAAGCCTTACCCTCTCTTTCAGTCTGAAGGGGGAGCTTCGCCTGGGTATCAGGACACAAGAGAAGCCTGCACCTCGGTTTCAATCTGAAGGTGCAGATTCGCCAGGGTGTCGGGACAGCAGATGAGAAGCCTGAACCTGGCTTTGAGTCAGAAGGTGGAGCTTCACCTGGCTGACAGGACACCAGATGAGAAGCCTGCAACTCACATCACCTATTCAGGTGGAGCTTCGCCTGTTTTTCTGGAAACTAGATGAGCAGCCAGCACCTGGCTTTCAGTCTGAAGGTGGAGCTTCACCTGGGTGTCAGGACACCAGATGAGAAGCCTGCAGCTGGCTTCACATCAGGAGGTGGAGTGTGCCAGGGTGTCAGGACACCAGATCAGAAGTCTGCACCTCGCATCACGTCTGAAGCTGGAGCTTTGCCTTGGTGTCAGGACACCAGAAGAGAAGCCTGCACCTGGCTTTCAGCCTGCAGGTGGAGCTTCACCTGGGCATCAGGACACCACATTAGAAGCCTGAACCTCATTCACGTATGGAGGTGGAGCTTCACCTTTGTGTCAGAACACTAGATGAGCCTGCACGTGGTTTTCAGTCTCAAGGTGAACTTCGCCTGGTTCTCAGGCCACCAGATGAGAAGCCTGCATCTTGCTTTCAGACTGAAGGTGGAGCTTCGCCTGGGCATCAGGACACTAGATGAGAAGCTTGCACCTGGCTTTCAGTCTGAAGGGGGAGCTTCGGCTGGGTGTCAGGACACCAGATGAGAAGCCTGCACCTGGCTTTCAGTCTGAAGGTGGAGCTTCTCCTGGATGTAAGGACACCAGATGAAAAGCCCGCACCTGGGTTTCATTTTGAAGGTGGAGCTTCGCATGGGTGTCAGGACACCAGATGAGAAGGCTGCCCTTCGCTTCTCATCCAAAGGTGGAGCTTCTCCTTTGTGTCAGGACACCAGATGAGAAGCCTGTACCTGGTTTTCAGTCTGAAGGTGGAGCTTCACCTGGGTGTCAGGACACCAGATGAGAAGCCTGCATCTTGCTTTCAGTCTGAAGGTGGAGCTTCGCCTGCGTGTCAGGACACCAGATGAGAAGCCTGCACCTAGCTTTCAGTCTGAAGATGGAGCTTCTCCTGGGCGTCAGGACACCAGATGAGAAGCCTGCACAAGCCTCTCAGACTTAAGGTGGAGCTTCGCATGGGTGTCAGGACAAGAGATGAGAAGCCTGCATCTCGCTTTCAGTCTGAAGGTGAGCTCACCTGGGTGTCACGACACCAGATGAGAAGCCTGCACCAGGCTTTGAGTCTGAAGGAGGAGCTTCACCTGGGCGTCAGGACAACAGATTAGAAACCTGAACCTCCTTCCCATCTGGAGGTGGAGCTTCACC